CTCCATGCGCTTCGGCGTCCAGGAGCTTCCACGACGGCGTGAGAAGGATGGGGAGCGGGGTACTCGAGGCGCGGCGTGTTGCCGCCCTCGATGTACTCGAGGACGGCCTCCAACGTGCGACCGGGCACGCCCCACCACCGGCGACGACCCTCGGAGTTGAGCCTACTGGAGGGCACGACGCCGTTGGTGACCTCGAGCTGCTCGGCGTAACGGCGGCGGAAGTAGGGCTCCCAGAGCGAGCTGTCGGGGACGTTTCATGGCCCCTCCCTCGCCGCCCGCGGCAGGGACGCGCGGATACGTGTGATCTCCGCACGCCTCGCCGCCCTGGTGGGTGGCGGTGGCACCGGCACGCCGCCGGCGCTGATCCTCCAAGCCCCGGGCACCCGCATGTTCGGCGGGACCGGGTACTCGGCCTCGAAAAGGAGGCGAGCCTCGTCCTCGTGAAGATGGCGGCGCCCGAAGCCATTCGCTGCCGCGCCATCGCCTGGAAAGCGCTCGGCCATTCTTCTCAACTGGAGACGGCGAGAAGAGGAAGGGGGAGAAATGGGCGCGTCGGCGTGGAGTATCTGTGCGTGTCTCCGGCGCGCTGGCGGTCAGCTTATATAGGCGGAGACGCCGCGTGGTAGGCTTGGCCGGCGCGTTACGCGTGGCGTGATGGCGTGACGGCCGAGGGGACGCGCGTCGCCCGGCCTTCACTGCGCCGCCCATGAGGCATCAATGGAGGCTGACCGGCGCGGCAGCACGCGCAGTTTTGACATTGATTCGCCACGGGAAACGAGGCGATAAGGACGACGAAGCGGCGAGAAGAGAGTCGAGTCACTGACGCGGCTGGCCCGCGGCTCTTCGCGCCAAAAACGATTCGCCCAGCGCCCCCGAGCGACCCCAACGCGCCAGGTTCGGGTTGGGTCCGCCGGCGCCAATTTCGGCCCGAGCCGGCGAAAACTGAGCCCTTAGGGGCGCGACTGCGCCATTGTTTTGGCGCCGGCAACCGAAAAATTGCCTGGGGAGCCTTCTTGGGAGCACGGCTGGAGATGCTCTCACCTGCTGGTTGTTGCTGCCGTGCCTCCCTGCGTCGTGCCGATGCCGGCGGCTACCGGTCCTCTGCCGCGCCTTTGTTTTTGCGAACGATCGGTACTCTCTCAGGCCATTTTTTTAAGGATCTCTCAGGCCATTAATTAGCGATCAGATTACTACTGTCTTTTTTAAGGATGTCTAATTTTTTAGGGGTAAAAGCCAAATTTATTCAACACCAAACTAAACATGGAGGCCGGGATATCGGATAGTATATTTCTTTTAGGGGTATTAGATTACTACTTGTGGCCGGCGTACGGTGCTATCCGCGCCTTAGGGACGAGACTTGCCTGCTCCCCTCGCATGCGCCCATCCGTGCTTCCGCGTACGTGGTTTGATTTGATTGGAACAAAATACGGCCCGGCCCCATCCTCTTAAAATCAGAAGGGGAGATGTTTAGATTAGAAAGAAAAAAGAAAAGAAAGACAGTCATAAGATGAAGTGAAAGCACGGATGAAAGCATGAAGCAAGAGCAGGAGCATAGCGGCCTAGCTGTTGCTGATGTGCTTCTTAATGTGGGTCTAGGGTATATCAGAAAAGTCTGTCGAGGTGGTAGATAAAATTGTTTAAGTGTAGTGGTGTGAGGTAAGTTCATTATGTGAACCAGAGGTGAGATTGAGCATCACTAGAGCGCACACGCAAAACAACCGAACGTTGCATCCGAAGATCACAACACATGCAACCAAATGCCATGCTCTCGTGTTCATGCTCTCGTGCACAGTGCCTGAGCCTTTGTGGCAATCAAACACGATGCACAACATGGTACAAAGCTCGTATTTCTTCAACCAGGCTCCAATGGGCTTGAGCCAAGCACCCACGGAATGCAAAAATGTCGTGGTTATCCAAATAGGCCCTGGGAGCTAGGGGAATATCCTTTTGGTTATTCAAATGCGTAACACGCCCACTGGCACGTGGGCCCCCAAATCCGGAGCGTTTCCGAAACCGCACCGCCCCAAAACCCGCCACACACCAAACGAAACGAACGGCACCCACGAACGTGTGCGCGACCCGGAACCGCCGGCCCGGTTTACTCCCGGGTTCCCGTTCTATTTTCCACCTTCCCTCCACTCCCACCTTCCCCGCTCCCCTTCTCCTCCTCGCCCGCGTCCCGCCCATGGAGTCATCCGCCGCGGGCGGCGACCCGCGCCCGTCGCCGTCCGGGGGCGCCACCCCTCCGCCCCAGCCGCCCCCGCCCCCGCCCAGCGGCTGGCTAGCGGGCCTCGTCTCCGGCGCCGGCCGGCTCCTCGCCTCCGTGCTCGGCCCCTCCCCCTCCTCCTCCCCGCGCGGCTCCGGCCCCGCCGCGTCGGGCGGGTCCGCCGCCTCCTCCCCGACCTCGCTCCGGCATCCCCGCGCGCGCGGCGAGGGCCTCCACGGCGGCGCCGGCGCTGGTATGCGAACCCTCCCTCCTCCTCGAATTACGAATTCCGTGTTGCCGCCTCCCGCGCCGCGGTTCCCGTACGGCATTGATTTCCGCCGAATTTTCCGCGTGACCCGATGCTTGGGCCGGTTATTCGCCGTGATACCGCAGGCATTGCTGCGAGCGAAATGGTTGATTTCGCGTTTCCAGTCATCAATCTCTCGAACGATGAGTTCGCCGAGCGTTCCGGATAGGAATTACAGGACGGGGAATCTGATGCTTCGCGCTTCCATACTTCATATAGCGGCAAATGTTTGATTCCTCGGCTGTTTCGGCCATGCTAGTGCATTTTCCAACCCTGTTCGAGTGTCTTCCATGGCGAATCCCCCTCCTCAAATTACGAATTCCGAGTTGCCGCCCTCGGGGCCGTGGACGCCGTGCCGCTTCAATTTCCGTCCAAAATTTCTGCGTAGCTCGATGTTTGGTCTAGTCTCCGTCGTGATCTCACAGAAATCCCTACGAAATAGGAGTGAAACCAAATGATTTCACATTTCCTATCCTTAATCTCTTGCACGGTAAGTTCGTGTAGCAGTTCACACCAGGGATTATAGAATGGGGAATCTGATGCTTCGTGCTTCCATGTTTCATATATGCGGTGACGTAAATGTTCGATTGCTCAGTTGTTTCGCCTTTCGGTCGTGCTAGTGCATTTTCAACTCCGTTTGCGATGCTCCCTGATAAAAGTCAATCAGTGTTCACTATTATAAAAAATGGCATCGGGTCGTGAGCTTAAGTGCACTGGCACTAAGTCACTAATTAACTGGTTTAGAAGACCAGTTTATGTATAACCCATAGATTCCTGTGCTAACCTTTCATTTGCACGCATGTATTTTTTGAAGTCCTTTCAGTGTTTGCCAATAATAGGTTCTGAAAGGTCATGTCAGTGTTCATAGCTCTAATCCAAAATACTACTGCATAATGTTGAAGCCATCAAATGCCATCTGTCTCATAGTTTTGAAGCCTCTTAGTTTTCCCATATTTATTGCATAATCTTCTAGCATTCTGTTCTCAATTTTGACAAATTTTGAAAAATGTGATTGAAAAGAGATTTCCCAAATGAGTTAGCACCCACTTTTTTCTCCATCCTTTACTATTTTCAGAAGATACACCTCACTTTCCGCTTTGGTACCTAGTACTTTCTCAGCTCGGTTCAGTATATTTTTGCACTTGCATGTTTTGTGTTTATTCCATAAGAATTTCATGCAAATTCCTAAGTACTATTGACCTATTGTGTTTGGTCCGTGCTAGTTTTTCCCCCTGTAAATAAAGTGTTCTCCAACTTAGTTGGCATTGCAGGATGGGAAATCTGATGGTTCATGTTTTTTTTAGGGAATAGATGGTTCGTGCTTCGATACTTAATAGAGGAAAATATTTGATTCCTCAGTTGTTTTGGCCATGCTAGTGCATTTTCCAACCCTGTTCGAGTGTCTTCTATGGCGAACCCCACTCCTCAAATTACGAATTCCAAGTTGGCGCCCTCAGGGCCATGGATGCCGTGCCGCATCAATTTCTGTCCAAAATTTCTGCGTAGCTCAGTGTTTGGACCAGTTTCCGTCATAATCTCGCAGAAATCACAACCAAACATGAGTGAAACCAAACGAGTTCTCATTTCCAGTCATTAATGTGTTACACGATAAGTTCGTGGAGCGGTCCACACTAGGGATTACAGAACGGGAAATCTGATTCTCCACGCTTCCATGTTTCATATCTGTGTAGAAGGAAATGTTCGATCATTCAGTCGTTTTGCCTTTCGGCCATGCTAGTTGCGTTTCAACTCTGTTCGCAATGCTCCCTAATAAAAGTCAATCAGTGTTCACTAATATAAAAACTGGCATTGGGACGTGAACTTTAGTGCACCGACACTAAGTCACTAATTAACTACTCCCTCTGTTCACTTTTATAAGACCTTGAAGACATTTCAGACAATGTACAAAACAGCCCATTTTGAGTTGTCTGAAATGACTTACAAAAGTGAACGGAGGGAGTAGTTTAGAAGACCAGTTTATGCATAACCCATATATCCCTGTGCTAAGCGTTTATTTGGATGCCTGCATATTTGGAGGCCTTTCATTGTTTACCAATAATAATAAGTTGGTCCTGAAAGGCCATACTCATCCAAAATACTACTGCAGAATGTTGAAGCCATCAAATGTCATCATCTGTCGCATAGTTTTGAAGCCTCTTAGTTTCCGCATATTATTGCATAATCTTCTAGCATTCTGACAGAATTTAAAAAATGTGATTTAAAAGAGAATTACCTAAATGAGTTAGCATTCAGAGTTTTTCTCCATTATTTTCTATTTTCTGAAGATACACCTTATTTCCCCCCTTTGGTGCTTATTACTTTCTCAGCTCTGAACAACATATTTTCGCACTTGCATCTTTTGTGTTTATTCCATAAGATTTTCAGGCAAATTCCCAAGTACTCTGTGCTAGTTATTTTTCCTGTAAATAAAGTGTTCTCTAACTTAGTTGGCATTATATTCAGCAACTCATGTGAATACATTATTTGATGTGCCTACCTGGCCATTTCTTGTATTTCACAGATTTTGATGATTCTGTGCGTGTCCCATCGAAAAACAATCAGTTAAACCAGGTATCCCACAACCCTTGTAATTTTTATCTTACCAATTACAGTCCCATTATTTTCTGAACAACCATTTATCACTTCTAGGAGTGATTCCTCAGTTATCTAAGGACTTTCCATTGCGTCATTTTTTGTTGTTGCTTTTTCTAGAGTGAGGAGACTGACCTGAAAGGCTATACGCAGGGATCCCTAGCAATTGTCTCAGAAATTGAGCCGAAAGATGCCATAATGCAGTTGCTTATGCAGGAAACCTACTCAAGGTATTATATATCTCTTGTTTACTTCCATTGATGTCCACCTGGAAAGTACTGTTTAATTTGCATTTTGCCTTGTGGTGCCAGCATACGGCTATTCTTATTTCTGAATATATATTTAAACATGGGGCTTTATTTGTACTTTGTTTCACACTGATGAAACAAAATGAAGTGCAGTCTTTCTTTTATTTTAGTTAATGCACTCTTGTTTGGTTTGACCGTTGTGAATTGACCATGCAACCCTAGCGCCCTTGTTTGAAGAATGGAATGGGTTGGTGCATCACTAGCTCGTCCTTCATAAGCATAAGTGAGGGATTAGGTCACCCCACCAATTTTGAGGGATCACCCAACGATGAATGAGGTGATTCCTCATCCGAACTGTCCCAGTGTGTTTCCAGAGTACCTCTTTTCTCCTGTCTTGGCATTCGTGTAAACAATAGATCTAAGACTACCTGTGCCTAGCTTTCAAAACTTGTATGTATACTGATTACACATACACAATGTGTAGTTCTGTACACCATTAATAATGCTTCAGGGCAAGCAATTAGCGCATGAAACATTATTTACATACACATATTGTATATTTCATTTTGGGAAGTGGTGATGAACATCAGGATACATGTTGGATTGTGATGTACAATTGAATTGGTGTTATTTTTTCCTTAGTTTCATAATTATCTTGTGTACTTGCCTATCCATAGGCTTGTAAATAACTATTTGTCTCATCAATGCATCAACACACAAAGCTTTTGTGTTTTCTCAGAAAAAATGATTTTCTAACTATTTTGAAAGTTGCTGAAATGTTTACCCTCAAGAATTGGTTATGCTATGTTAAACTGTTAGTCCAGCCTGCATCCTGTGATAATAGCAACCAAAAGTTGTGACTGGAAACTCCTTTGTCGTATAACATATACCTCTATTCTGGACAAACTAATGTCTGTTCATTGCTGAAGATTTAAACTACACTACTGATAGAAATCCTTAATTTTAATGTTAGGTCTGAGTGCAGTACACTAATAAAGATAATTCAAGAGCGGGTTGTGGATCCAGATTCAGGTGGAATTGCTGATGGTGAGATTGCTCTTCCGATCAGTTGGAAGGCTGACAACCAACCAACCCTTGGATATTCTTCATTTAGTCCAAATGTGTCCTTGCCTTCAACATCAAACTTTCGAATCCATGGCCATGGTTTTGATAATAGTGCTGCTGCCGACACAGTTCCAATGTTAACTCCTGCCAATCGTAGCCTTTTCAACGATAAAGCTGACAATATTCAGCCTGTGAGTGCTCTTTGCTTGTAGGGAAATTAATTTGTCATGTGTATGGTATCTCAACTCTCAAGCCCATTCGGTTATATGCCACCCCTGTTTGTCTAAGGGAACACTGCGCTGCAGGCTTTCAAACGAAGGTACTCCCGAGGACCTTCGAAGAGTCAGGACAAAGGCTGATGGAAATCCGATACACATCACAAAATTTAAGAAAGTTGATGTTGTTAGAAATCGTCCAGGTATAGATTACAAAAGAGCTTCTGCAATTCCTTGAGAAGTGCCATTAAGCTTTTGTATTACTAATCATTTACAGTTACCTGTGTACATATTTCTTCATCGGTTACAATTTATTACAAAAGTTTCAATTCTGATAATATGTGTTTGAAGTTTTTTCAGGAGAAGGCAATAAACTGTTATCAGATGTTCCCCTTCTTGGGGCAAACAACTTAGCGCATTCTAACATTCTCTCGAAAGTTGAAGGAGCTAATGAAAAATTGGATGTCCCTAGCAAACCTCCGGCAGTGCCAAATAAGGTACTAGAACCCCTCTAAACAATTGATTTTCTTGGGTGTCTTTCTTTTGTATCAGTCAAATAACAAATGTAGTAATGCGTGCTGACATGAATGGTAATGTCAACCTTTATCATAGGATCTGAAGAACGGCTTTCCTTTGAAGTTGGAACCTTTGGATGGTCTTAGTCCGTTTGAGCAGAAGATGATGGACTTGTCACACCAAAAGCATAAGGGTTTGTGATCTTTGATTTGCTATGTCTGCTGGTTAGTAATGAGCATGATGCCTGACATCTGATGCTGTTGGTTGCTGTTGCGCAGATGCTGCATATGATGACTCAGGTTCTGTTTCAAAATTAATGTTCATGGGGGATATTGAGGCCACGCCTAGGTATGCCATATTGCACCTAACCTATTTCATTACTGTGGTGACTGTTCTTTTGTCATTAAAACTTGGTATTTTCATCTAGACCGTTCTATTATTTGTTGGATTGAAATTTGTGCTTGCAGTTGCTATCATGCAATGTTGTCAGCTGATCCAGTGCTTATTAGGATAGCCAGATATCATCACCATTTTTTTACTGTATCAGCAATTCAGTAATGCCTCATTCATAAGGAGCCACCTCATCGATCGTTTTTTGAACTGCAATTTCTACCATTAGCTCCCGTTTGTTATGTGATGTTAAGAGGTTACTAGGGAAGCAAGCTAATATGATTGTCCATTTCAGCTTGCAGCTACAAAACGGCTCCAAGAACCGCAGAAGAAAGCAATCCAACTCTCCAAGGACAACTCCGAGGGCCGCAGATTCGCCCGCCATGGGCACGCGCCGCAGACTCGGCGACGCTACGGTCAAGGCAGAGATCAACCTGCTAGAGCAAACCACGCCGATAACGATGGCCAAGCAAGATCCAGACTATGTCCCAGAGAGGAGGCCTGCCGGGAGGCCGAAGAAGGCCAAGTGACTTGTCCTGGATCCTGTTCATGGGTATACTTCCGCAAACTAGCTTCACGCGGGAGGAGGACCTTGTTACCGTTGGTCCTGACTGCATATTTCTCGCTGCCATTCAGTCTTGCCGTCGCCTCTGAAGGTGGATGGTGGCAAGAAATCTGCAGTATGGGACGATGATGAACTGACAGGGCGACAGGAATGCCATGGAATTTCAGTGTTTACTCCTGTAGAGACTTATGCCTGCTGGACATGGGTTATTTAGGTGTTTAGAGGGAGAAGGGAAAGGACAACATGCCTGCCATGTCACTTGTAGTATAACCAAGTGGTTTAGTCAGACTAATGTGCTAGTACATGCATGCATCATGGCATAGGGTGCACTGTAAATCATAGTTCCATGTTATTCATCTTGTGTGACATTGCTTCTCTCATGGTGCAGGTGTTTTCTGACACGGTCTCATGCCCATGTGCTGTTTTTTAGCTTCGATTTGCTCTGTCAGTACTGATAGAAGAATAACCGGGCACGCAGGAGCGGGCAGGTGGATCTTTTGACGCGCCATTGGTAGTTCAGATTCAGATCAAATGTCGATCTGGCGCCGTGGCGCGGCTAGACAGATATTCCGAGCGAAACGGCAGGCGGGAGGGCGTCGCGTCGCTGCTGGCAGTGGCGGATCAGATGGCGCTCGTGCCATCGTCATCCTTTGCCGCCAATCCCCGTCCACCCGCTGCCGCCACCGTATCCCCAAAACCCCATCTCCCCTGACTGGCACACCCCACGGTCGACGCCCCCGTCCGTACGTCTGCTTCCTGAGCTCGCCGCAGCTGACTGCCAACCACCCACCGCGCCGGCGATGGAGGCCACCGGCCGCGGGGTGTTCCCGAACAAGCCCACCCTCCCGCCGGGCCCCAAGAAGCGGGCGCCCCCGTCCCAGCAGACGCTCCTCCCGGCCTCCCCGCCGCCGCAGGCCCCCTCCTCGCTCCCGCTCGACTCCTTCCTCCTCCACCTCACCGCCGCGCCGGCCCCGGCCCCGGCCCCCGTCCCGCGCCGGACCCACCAGCAGGCGCCGCACCACCAGCACCACCACCCCACCCCGACCCCGGCGAGCTCCTTCCTCTCCCCGGCCGCGCAGGCGCTGGTGCTCGAGCTCTCCGCCACGCCGCTCCCGGCCCTCCCGGCCTTCCTCGCCGCCCGCCGCGACGACCTCCTCCGCGCCGCCGACCTGCCGTCCCTCCTCAAGGCACTCGAGCTCTCCGGCCACTGGGAGTGGGCGCTGGCGCTCCTCCGCTGGGCGCGCGCCGAGGGGGCCGCCGAGGGCGCCGCGCCGCTCGAGATGGTCGTGCGGGCCCTCGGCCGCGAGGGCCGCCACGACGCCGTCTGCGCGCTGCTCGACGAAATGCCGCTCCCGCCCGGCGCCCGGCTCGACGTCCGCGCCTACACCACCGTGCTCCACGCGCTCTCCCGCGAGGGCCGCTACGACCGCGCGCTCCGGCTCTTCGACGAGCTCCGGCGGGAAGGGGTGGCGCCCACGCGCGTCACCTACAACGTCGTGCTCGACGTCTACGGCCGCATGGGCCGCTCCTGGCCGCGCGTCGTCGCGCTGCTCGACGAGATGAGGGCCGCGGGGGTCGAGCCCGATGGGTTCACCGCCAGCACCGTCATCGCCGCCGCGGGCCGGGACGGCCTCGTCGACGAGGCCGTCGCCTTCTTCGAGGACCTCAAGGCCCGCGGCCACGCCCCGTGCGTCGTCACCTACAATGCCCTCCTGCAGGTCTTTGGCAAGGCCGGGAACTACACGGAGGCTCTGCGAGTGATCAAGGAGATGGAAGACGCCGGCTGCAAGCCTGATGCCGTCACCTACAATGAGCTTGCTGGGTCATATGCCAGGGCTGGATTCTACCAGGAGGCTGCCAAATGTCTCGACACGATGATCGGCAAGGGGTTGCTGCCCAACACGTTCACCTACAACACCATAATGACGGCGTACGGGAATGCCGGGAAGGTGGACGAGGCGCTTGCCCTGTTCGACCGGATGAAGAAGAATGGGTTCGTCCCATACACAAACACCTACAATCTTGTCCTCGGCATGCTGGGGAAGAAATCAAGGTTCCCGGCGATGCTAGAGATGCTCGGGGAGATGTCGAGGAGCGGATGCACGCCGAACCGGGTGACATGGAACACGCTGCTGGCGGTCTGCGGGAAGCGAGGCATGGAGAGCTATGTCACTCGGGTGCTCGAGGGGATGAAGTCCTGCAGGGTTGAGCTGTGCCGAGACACCTACAACACACTGATATGTGCTTATGGCCGGTGTGGTTCAAGGGCCAACGCATTCAAGATGTATGATGAAATGACCGCCGCCGGCTTCGCCCCTTGCCTCACCACATACAATGCGTTGCTGAACGTGCTGTCTCGCCAAGGGGATTGGACCGCTGCGTGTTCCATCGTAAGCAAGATGAAGAGCGAGGGTTTCAAGCCAAACGACATGTCATACTCGCTGCTGCTCCAGTGCCACGCAAAGGGGGGCAATGCCGCGGGGATCGAGGCCATCGAGAGGGAAGTCTACCAAGGTACCATCTTCCCGAGCTGGGTCATCTTGAGAACACTTGTGATCGCCAACTTCAAGTGTCGGCGGCTGGATGGGATCGAGAGGGCGTTCCAGGAGGTGAAGGCCCGGGGCCACAAGCCGGACCTCGTCATCCTCAACTCCATGTTGTCAATATATGCGAAGAACGGAATGTACAGCAAGGCGATGGAGATGTTTGAGTCGATCGAGCAGTCCGGGCTGAGCCCGGACCTGATCACCTACAACAGCCTGATGGACATGTATGCCAAGAGCAACGAGCCCTGGGAGGCCGAGAAGATCCTGAAGCGGCTCAGGACCTCCCAGTCCCAGCAGCAGCAGCAGCTCAAACCCGACGTGGTGTCTTACAACACGGTCATCAACGGGTTCTGCAAGGAGGGGCTGATCAAGGAGGCCCAGAGGGTGCTGTCGGACATGATCGCCGACGGCGTGGCCCCCTGCGTGATCACCTACCACACGCTGGTCGGAGGGTACGCGAGCCGGGAGATGTTCGCGGAGGCGAGGGAGGTGGTTCGGTACATGATCCAGCGCAAGCTGAGGCCCATGGAGCTGACCTACAAGCGGGTGGTGGACAGCTACTGCAGAGCCAAGCGGTACGAGGAGGCCCACGGCTTCCTCGCCGTGGTCGCGGAGACCGACCCGAAATCCGACCAGAAGCTGCTGGGCACGCTCGCCGCCCGCATAGAGAGCGCCCAGTTCGGGAGATGAGATGATGGTGACCAAGGTGCTTGTTCATAGAGCTGTGTTGTTGCGTGTTCTGTGGCAGATATGTCGGGTGATTGCCAAGTTTTGACAGGGGAGCGTAGCATATTTACTTGTGAAGAAGATGAGATAGTGCCGCACAATGGCACAGAACAGAACTAGTTTTCCTCGCATTCTTACAAAGTTATTATGAAAGTCGCATTCGGCTGTACAGTTGTTAGCCTATGGCAAGAGTCTGAATTTTGAGGTGCTTTGGATGTATCATTTGGCTTTGCAGAATATACATAAGCAGCAAGGTGGTGCCGCTCCCAAATTCTATTACCACTGTAAATTTTTATAAGATCGTTTATAGTCTATGTATGACAGTGTCAAAAAACGCCTTACCTTACTTCTCAGTTGCGGAAGCCTGAACGCAACCTATGCAGTAGCTGTGTCTGTCTGAC